CCTTGAAGAACACCACTCACTGGTCTCCACTTGGACACTGAGCCATATTCTGCAAATACAACTTCCTGTCTCCACATGTTTTCCCCCCTTCCCACCCCCCCCCCCCCCCCAGTGTTCAGAATATCCTGTGAATCCACAGGAAAACTCACTGAAGTAAAATTGGAGGCAGAGGTCTGACAGTGTATGCACATGCATCAACTTTACATCTAGTTTTGCTGTTAAATGAATAAGGCTATATATATTTATCAATATATTTAGACGAATCTGAAAACTTCTTGTCATTTATTACACAATGACTTTGAGTGTTTATAACCTTAAATTGCCCGATATTAACTGACAGTGTCAAAAGCAATCCCCAAACATGGAGCACTTACACCATCATTAATAGCATTTTTACTGAACCTACTGCTAGAAACTTCCGGCTTGACTCTGCTTGTGAGTTGTTCCCTTCAAGCATGATAATATTTATGCCTTAGAGTGCATTTCACAAGTAATTTTTGAAGCAGTTTTAGCAAAGAAGTCAGCAATGTTATTGTGTTTGTACAGGCATGCACCAAGTGTCACTGAAGTGACTTGACATTTAGGAGTTCAGTGGTGTATCCCAGGTAGGTAAAGGGCACAGAGTCCACACTGGGACTTGATTTGATCTAACTTCCCTGGCACATGTCACGGATGTGCACAGAGGAGGCTAGCTGAGGTCACCGTCCTCCAGAGTACAGCAGCCTCATATTGCTGCAACTTTCTCAGCAGGGACGCCACCCTTATTCAGCTACTTACCCAGACTTTATGTACTTGTTAGAAGTGATTAGACTGATAGGAAAGTAGTGTGTTAATGAAAACACTGGAACCTTCCTAGAAGTACTGGTCTCTGATGGAATAAATTCAAACACAGAGTTCAGCTTCTATTTGCAAGCATGGCAGAACAGGAGACTTCCACATTAATTGCTTATAATCCTGTTAAATTAATACAGAACATTTCCATAAGTAATTTGATAATAGAAAAATGCTTTCTGCTTCATTGAGACCTACATTCCAGAGTCTAGAGAAACTGGATTTCCATCTGGTTGTTAAAAACAATCCATTTGAAAGCCCTTTGAGTGATTTCTTCCTCGCTTTTGAAAGTATGGTAGGACCGGTGTTTTTTTTTCTAGAATCAAACCCCACATCATCCCTGGTTTTCTAGGGGAGTTTTCTACTGAATGACATCAGCACTAATTACTAATGAAACAAAAGCACTAATTTCTCAAGTACTCATCTTGTTACCTTTTTAATCAAGAGTTTATGTCCTTACCTCCTCCCATCAGTGCACGCAGCTTATACTAAAACAGATCTTGAGTAACATCTTGCTTTTAGTTGCATATGTATTATAGATACTTGATAGCAGACCTCATTAGGGCATTGGTAGGGTTGTGTAATGACAGGATGGGGGTTTGGGGTGAGAATACAAACCCATTGTTTTTCAAAAATGATTTATTAGGCATTTCTAACTGCTAAACATATTGTAAGTCTATAAATTTGCATTCATTTTTACTGATGTTACCCAATTACAGAATGAATTGAATTTCATTAAAACATATATGCTGGCTCTCCTTCCAGTAAAGCGCTTATTGTTGTCTGCCTTTTGTACCCTACTGAGGAAGAGGCTTGTTTCAGTGAAGTCTGTAGGCTAAAGCATTTTATGTTTAGACTCAGATCTTACCTCTCAGGAATGTCAATGCTGTTTTTTCCCTCTTTGTAGTCAGACTAGTTGTATTGCTTTCAAGTACTAAGGGTGATCCCTCCAGCTTTCACTGGCATTGTCAGCTGCTTTGGTGCATGATCCACTATAACATGCAAGTGGGTGCTCATTCCAATGTGAGAAGTTCCGTAGTATACACCTTATTCTTTATCTTCAAGGTGATGCTGGGGGATGCAGTCACTAACTTTCCCATCCTTCACAGTTACCAAATCTATGGGGTACAGTCCTCTCTTTTTAATATAGAATGTATATCTTCTGGTGGTGGTCAGTTTGAAATTGGCAGAAGGATGTTGTATTGAATGCCTTGAAGGTGGAAGTTCTTCCCTCACAAATGCAAAACAGCTGAAACAGTACACAAGCTCCATAAGCTCATTTTCATAGATCAAATTCTCTTCTGTGCAAAGCAGCTACTTAAGACCTGCTCTAAAAGTTCTAAAAATAATTTTTGAACCTGTGACCCTTAAAATGTTTCTCTGCTTTATCAGCATAACCAATCTCTGTTAATATATCCCACTTTGGAAGGCAGAAAATAAAACACAGAAAGTTTGTTTTTCTTTTGTTGTATGTCTTGAATTGGTGTATTTTAGGTGTATTTAGCTAGTGAAACCCCACTGAAGTGGCTTACTACATAGTATTAAACTATGTTACAAACACAGTGGTGAAGAATCTACACACAGCAAACAACCCAAACGAAAAACATGTACCAAAACCTCATATGCTCTTTTTTCCTGTATCAGTTAGTCTGATTGAAGAAATTATCACTCAGTATGAAAATTGCCTAACTTGTGTGGTATGCCAGCCATCTTTAATTCCAGCTGGCTGCTCTCACTTTGTTAGACAAATGATAGGTAAGGTTTTGTACACCAATGGCTTGTACACCAATTTGCTGAAGTAATATGTTGCTCTGTAGTCTTCTGTCAAATATGCAGACTGGGTCTCATTATCTTTAAATGAAGTAATATGAGACATTCATCAAGAAATTGCTCTCCTTAAGTCTGTGCGGTAAACTGTGAGAGGGAATACTGTGATTTGTACCATGTGTTTTCCCAAGATAATTTCACTTTTAAGAGTTGTAGATTTAGAGTAACATAAACAGATATTCATACAGTGATGAAAGATTTATTACAAAACTCTGAGGTAAATGGACAGAGGCAGAACATGTACTTAAAATACGCAGTATTACCTGTTTATATCTTAAGTTACTTTAAGGTGTGACTTAACAGAAGCTTTTCTTTCTTCATTTCTGCATACTAGTAGCATCACCATTTCCATACTTACTAACCTCAAGAGGCAGAAAAATCATCAGTCTGTTTGAACGCCTACAAATAACTGTCCTCACTGCAGAGATTACACTGAATGGGAAAGCACATAAACAAACGCTGTTACTTCTAAGCTTTCATAGTGATAACATGCAGCAACCTGGCTGCAATCCTGGGAGACACATCACATACCTGTACTCTGATCTTGTAAAAGAGTAGTTTCAGTTTTAAAGCCTTTGAAGTCAATGAGGGGAGCCCATAAGCCCATCCTTTGTTTAGGATCAGAGTAGACTTAGTACAGAAAGTAGCAGGACAGGTTGTTTTTATATGCTCAGTATCTCTTGTTCATACCTAGGCCTTAGCAGGCAGCTGTATTTAGGAAGCTCAGCATTCATTCCTCCTCATTAGTACTCTTTACCAAAAGTGCCAACAAGGCAGCCAATTAGTGCTGGCTGTACCTGTGGTATCTCTTTTTATGGACTCATCTGTTCATCTGTTCAGCTCTCAGGAAGGCCGAGACCTACCTGCTTGTTTCACACAAGGCATTGGGCTACTAGGCAGATGATGATGGTAATGATGATCAGCCTTCATTGTCCTGTTTTGTATTTACAGTGAGAATGAAATGCATAATAGTCATTACCATCTGTACACAGCCTTCAGAATTTATTGCTGGTGCAAAAGTGGCCCCTCAGGGCTATGAACACTTTTATTTGTTAACGCTAAAATAAAGACAGCATGAACAAGGACTAAATTACCCCCATCCGTGTTATCAGAAAACCGAAATCCTGCCTTGAAGGGTTGAAAGTGAGAATGCTTTGATTTGAGGTCTTGCATTTTCTCATGCATTTACTTCTGAGATTGTTGGAAAGGGAACTAATTAGCAGTCACAGCCATGGTTTTCTGTGCTGGTGGACACCTGTCCAAAGAAAATGAACAAGAAGCTGCTTTTGTATGGGCTAATGAAATGACCAATAATTTTCATATATTTCAATTACTTTTTACAAGTGGTCTAAAACAGATTAATTTGTGAAAACTAAATGCGAGAGGCAATAATTTCTACTGTATTTCTCTGAATATTGTCTTGCCCTTATATTTCAGGTTTCACTGTTAGATGAAATTTATGCCTCCCCAGAGAGCTGACTGCACTTTTACTACCATACTTTTGCGGTAAAAGCAGTGTCCTAATTTTCTGTTCCTGTGACTCTTCTTGTATACACAAACTTTTTGAGACATTTGATTTTAGTTGCTAATGATTTCTGCCTTTGAATTGCTGAAGATGACAAAATATCTTGAAAACTTAAGTATGAGAGAGAATAGATCTATTTTCTGAGCTTTTTATACCTCAATATTTCCAAATTGTAGGGGAAAAGGCATTAACCATGTTTGAACTGCAATTCTTGCAAATAAACCTGAAGTAAACCATATGAACTGAATCAGATTTGAATAAGGGTTCATCGAAATTTCTTTCATTTATAGATCATATTGTATCTGATACAACTTAGAAATTATTCTTGGCATTCTTAAATATAATTACCAACAATTAAAATGTGCAACAATATAGAATGCTCTTGGATGGAAGATGAGAAAAAATTATCAATATTCAACAGCAATGCAAAACAAAGTTTTACATAAGGAATAAAGAATTTGAGAATAGTAAGAAAAGCAAATAAAGTAGTCTAGGGGGTTTTATTTGCTCTACTTAATTAGAATGCTTAAAATATGATTTTTCTTTGCACAAATTAGGGTGTGATCCAGAGTACCTCATCTTTCAAGTGTTTTAAGATCCCAATTTTACAACACTTGAAAAGGAAAGCTTCCAAAAATTCAGTGCTATGCAAGGCGATATAAAGGACACTACAGCTCTCTGTTTACATTGCAAATATAACATTGTCAAAGTTCTAGAAAAAACACCCACACAATGTAAACAGATGATCAGAAGAGGTGATCACCCCACTGTATTCAGCATTGGTGCAGCCTCACCTCAAGTATTGTGTGCACTTCTGGGCCCCACAGTTTAAGAAGAATGTGAAGGTCCTTGAATGTGTCCAGAGGAGGGCAACAAAGCTGGTAACAAGGTTGGAAGGAATGTCCCACGAGGAGCAGCTGTGTTCACCAGGCTTGTCTAGTTTGGAAAAAGGTAGGCTGAGGGATGATCTCACTGCTCTCTGAGAGGGAGATGCTGAGTTCTCTCTGGTATCCTGCAACATGGTATTTTTGGCTTCATCCATCAGATTTACTTTGTGCCAAAACCAGATTCGTAGTGGAAATAGGAGACATCTCAGTGAAATGGTCCCTTCTGCCTCCTGGGTGAAAATCTCTGTACCAGGTTGCTGGAAGCACGGTATGTTTGCAGCAAAACAGTCTGTGGTACACAGATCTTGCCTCAGACTGCCTGCTGTGGGGCTGTACTCTGACATGCCAAACTTCACAACAAATGAAGCAGACAGGTTTTCGGTATAGGTGGGATTATTTCTGCCCAAAGGGTGGTTTCTGGTTACTTGTGTTTTCCTCCCATTGTTGTTGTTGTTGCATTGTTTGGTTTTGTTGTTGTTTTATTGCTGCTGGGTTTGAGTTTTGGGGTCTTTTTTGCTTGACTGTGCAGACAAATTTTGATCTGGAGGGAAACATCAATGTTTCTAAGCTGAAACCCTCCAGAGGGTTGCAATTCAGCTCTGTTACCTAGTTGTAGAATTGTAACTCCATCACCAAGTGACCTAACGAATACAGCTGGGAGAAACTGTTGTTTAGCATTTGCGTTGCTGACTAGCAGGAAATTATCTCCGATATGTCTGGATCAAGGCTTGCATTGCAGAGATTTCCTGTGAGAAAGTAGTGTCAAAGAGTATGACTGAGCTTTCCTCTGTCTGTAACACAAAAGATTATCTATTAACAGTGGCCTCACATGCCCCACCATCAATTGCAATCAACCGAGGCAGGCTGTTACAGCCCACTCTTTCCTTTGCTCTTCTCTTATATAGGTATAATTTTTTCATGAGATACTAAGCTAAATAAGGCATAAGAATTTTCCTGACATAGAATGTAAAAGGAGAGAAAAGCTGAAAGCAGAAGAGAAGAAAAAACCCTCGAGCAAAAGCTCACTTATTAGAGTACTTATTTTTGTCATTAAATCTTGGCAGCTACTTTAAGAATTAAAATATTACTAGTTTTCAAATTTTACAACTGACTAGCCTGTGAATTTAAAAGCACTTGGGGAAGGGTGAATAGTTCATTAGCTTGTTCCCTCAATGACACTTTCAAATACTTTCCTTACGGTGACCTCTATTTTAAATTTATGGGAATCACTTAAGTGTCAAACAAGCTAAGTGGTGCATTTCATTAATGAAAAATTAATGGAGAGGACCTTGGGCTAGTTTTCAGTACTTGTTTACAATACATATAATTCATTAGAAGAACATCAGTCAAGCAAGGACCCTGCATGGCTGCAGTGGTGTTGTAAATGGGACTTTATTCTCTTTTTTCCAGTTAATGAAAGTATGAGGCAGAAAAAAATACACATAAAAGAGATTTAATGAGTCTTTGGAAAAGTGTTAAAATAGGGTACACAAGTCATAAATTTCAATTACTAACTCTACTCCAACCATACTTATTAGTGTAGGAACAAGATATCAGTCTGTAATAGGATAAAAGTCTTTGTGACAGGTAAGGACCAACTAATTTGCAGAAATTTGGGACTATGATCCCCTGTTTAGAACGAGGGACTAGGGAGAAAGTCTTAATGCTCCCAAGTTGTCTCTGCAGGTGAGGTGACACCTGACCTTAAAGCAAGTTCCTTCTTCCCAGAAATACTGCTGCTTCTCAAAAACTAACTTTCTTCAGAAAGGGGCAGCCTTCAGAGAGAATCTTGCTCTGCCTTTCTATATAATGAACTGAAAAATCAAAGTCACACTTTCATACACTGTGAAAAGCATGGTTTATTATCTCAAATGAAAAACTGTGTAAAATTGTGCGGTTCAAATGTATTTTCCAGCTTAAATCAGGCTATAGCTACCCATAGGCTTTGGATCAGAAATAAAACAAGACAAGTCTTCCCTTTAAAACTTTTTTTCATCATATAATAGGTGAGGAGTGTTTTAAAGACATTTCCTTCCAAGAACACTACTGCCGAAAGACCATCCTGGTTTAAACACAGATACTAATAATACAGCAAACTTTAGTTCTATTTATATCATAAAATTCTCCACAGTGTATTATAAATGTGTTTATCAGACAAGTGGTTAACACAGCACTAGGCAGTGAATCCCAAATTATCAGTAGTATGGTACAGAACATAACTGGTCTACTCTGGCCTCAAATCGGGAGGCCTGGAGACACGCCATCTATAACGCAGCTGTCTCCTTCGAGAACACACGCAGGATCACTCTCGAGGAAAAAAGGCAACGCAGAAAGAACCGTGCCTTGCAGAATACACCATCTAAGGAGTCTTTCTGCTGTGCCTTTTGCAATCGGATATGTCTGTCACGTATTGGCCTCATAAGCCACCAGCGTGCCTGTAGCAAATGTGGATAGTGCCTTCCCAAATCTTCGTTCGCGAAACCTAGCCATGATCAGACAAGTGGTTAACACAGCACTAGGCAGTGAATCCCGAATTATCAGTAGTACGGTACAGAACAATTGAAGCATATGGATTCATAAGCATGGAGTATCTTTGGGCACAGAAGAATTTCTAAGAGATCCAAGTGGCCCTCTTTCTTTGGCTCCTCACTTTAAAGCAGCACAAGAAAGTATACAGCTTGGGACAAGCTATATGATAACGACAACATTACTTTGTAATAATGTCCTGGTATTCAAATCCACATATCACTGTGCTGGACACAGAACTTCAGATTTTGAGTGTAGAAAGCTCCTGCAGATTTGATACAACATACAAGACCAAAAATGTAAGAAACCATGCCTCAACTTCCCTGCCTATAAAATGAGAATAATGATATATGTGAAAATGTTGTACCATCTTATTGCTTGTTCATGGCACTTTATACATCCAGTCATTGAATTGTCATTCCATTTCTCATTGAATAGTTATAAAAATCTTTTTAGGAGAATGCTCTCAAATGCTCTGAGCACATGACTGCCTTTAAAGTGATCCTTCAAGCCTGCTGGGGCTCACTCAATGCCAGTTTTCCAAGTAGAGTATTCAGATCAGTGTGCATGAAGGAGTAAATGAGGAACAACAGTTATAGTTTTTCTGACTTTCTATTGGCAGTGGATTAATAATGTAAAGTACTCTGCATGACAAGCTATTTGTTTTTGCTGAGATTAAATGGAATCAGTTGTAAAACTATGTGGGTTTATTACTATAATATTTTTCATACAGTGATAACAAATATGAGCACCATAATATCATCCAGATCAGTCCTTAATGGACACAATTACTGTTTAATGTTCTTAAATACGTTTGGGAATATGAGCTCTGAGTGTTAGTTTGTTTAATAATACTAATAAAAGCACAAGAAAATATACAGATGCTGATTATATTCATTATAAAGGGAGGAAAACAGACTGCAATTATGTAGCATATTGAGGAATAACTAAGATAATATTTGCAAGGTTTTTCCCAAAACAAACCAGTTGATTTCAGAAATTTTGAAAGAAGCTTTTTTTTGTCTCTTTTACTAGGCTTCAAAAGTTTGTTCAGAATGAACCAATATTTTGAAATGGACCAGCATAAGGCGTACATGTTGCAAGACTGCAGTTCCCCTCTATTGTAAACAAATTTATTTAGCTGTGGTTGTACCTGTGAAAGATTAGAGCATGTCCTGTTCAGAAAATTGGAATCAAAATGGTAAAAAAATTCCAGTAGTTATAATACCTTCATCCTTCTAGAAAAAGTCTGTTATTCCCTTGCTGCCTGTAGTCTTGACTTAGAACACATGGGACTCTTCAGTTGGCAATAAAGATGGTGGTAAAATAGCTTTTTCTTTTTTTTTCCTAAATTCTTCAACAGGAAAATTTAATGTGATGAACTTTTTTTTTCTTTTCATGGTAAATGTTTTCTGCATTCTAGGGGAAATAAAAAAATATATACTCTCAGATGATATTTTCTATGGCTATTTTTCTTATTGAAATGTTGAGATTATGGTACATCGTGAAAAATCTCCAGCCTTAGGAACCTGAGTTATGAAGACCAGTAAGATTTCATGAGGTATTACAGCAGCATTTTCAGTGTATTCTGGGTATTTTAGCTGTGGGGATTTGGATATTTTTGTAACTGTATGTATGCTTAGGGTTGGTTTTTGGTCTCGGAGGTTTTTTTTGTTTGTTTTGTTTTTACTATTGTTTTTATTTTAGTTCAGCCACAAAATAAACATAGTCAGAAAGCTTGAAATCTTTTATTTACAGGTCACATGTATGAGGACAGCTGACCTTCTTGGTTTCTGTTCAGTACTTTCTGCTGCTACCAGGTTAATGGATTAAAACCCAAGATTCCCCCTTTCTGTTAGTGCACAAGTGCTTGCAGAGTCCCTGCAGAATGGCTTATTAGTACTGCTCACAACTCATTTTGAATGCTTGAAGATAAAACAAGAATGAGATCTAAACTGGTGACTTCTGATCCCAAGTCAGAAATGTGTCCTTCTGACATCCAAGCCTACAGTATTAGAGTCCATAGCCTACATATGTAAATAATCACTCCAAAAGACCTTCTGTTGCCAGTGTCCTGAATGTCAGAACTGTATTCTCATCAAAGGATTTTGGTATAGAAGTGTGATGATAGTATCAATTCTTATCTAGTTGTTTCCTATATGGCATATCTTTCTTCAGTGCTTTCATTTTATTCATGAAGCTGAGACTTGAAAAACTGCTTCATTCAATAATAAAACTCATAGTTATTTATCTAAATTTCTAGATCTCTCTAAACTCCTATGTTACCCTAAACTTATCAGTGTTATTTCTTCCCATAGCCTCTTTTGTTTTTCATATTTGGGTGAGTGCAAAGCTGGGATGATAAACAGTTCAAATGCTTCTCTAATTCTCTTTAAGTTTGAAATTTTGTAATCAGAGACTAATAGACTGTATCTCCAAGCTTGCCAGTGGAAACTGCTTCTTCAAAATGTCTCACTATTGTAAGTGAAAAAACTCTAAAGAAATATTCTCTTTGTAAGTAGGTTATTCCTTTCAGTCAAAGATTTTCCATAAATGAGAAAATTTTTGAGTTTGACACATTAATTCATTTCTTGAATTATATTCATCAAAGACAGATAGACGCCTCATATCAAAGTCATATTAATCTGTTAAATCAAATTAACCTCTAAAATTTGCATCCTTTGACTGTGATAATTAAAGAATGTTTCCCAGACACTGAGAGTTCCCAGTTCAGCACCTAAATAAGAAGTTGTTGTGTGAATGCAGTGTCAGAGTTCAAAAGACCATTATAAAATGAAATGATGAAATATTTTGCTGTCTCTCAGAATCAGGATCTGAGATCCTTACGTAGTAAGATAAACTTCTGGTAAACTCCTCAGAATTTTTCACTCAGTAAGGGCTTAACTGCACGGCATAAAAAATCTGGAAGAGATTTCCAGAATGAATAAAATTTCTTGGAAATGTGGGAGCCAGTCAACTCTTATCTGCCTACTGGATTTCTGGAAAATGTTTTGTGCATTTTTTTTCTCTAGAATTTTCATTAACTTTAGGAAATATAGAAGAAAAAAGTTGAGAGTACACCACAGAGAACTGTAGGTGGTCTGTGGACATATTTCTTGTTTATTACTACATTTTGGACTGGTTTGTGGAATAATATTATTCTTAAGTGAAAAGTATTTATCAAATAAATCAACAACTATAAACACTGATATGCTACACAGAATTGATTCTACTGTAGCTTTCCTCATTAATCAGGAACCATATGCTATTTGGAGCTCTATGCTGGATGAAAAACCTCTGATGTCTGTTTATATGCTAGACATGCACAAGTGAGATTATGAGACTGAAAGGTACATTGTGGGTGGAGGGTGCCTAGTGCTGTCCATTGCCACTTCAAGTGTTTATTGACTGCTTCTTAGAAGTAGTTTTTGGGGCTTTTTTAATGGTACTTCTGTCTTTAATATTGTTCCAGAACCTCACTGTTTTCTCAAATAATTAGTATTTGCATTCCAGCCAACACTTTTATTCCAAAAAGAGAGAGTTGATGGGACAAGGACAATTTGGAAAAAGCATAAAGGTCAAGTTTGTGGTTTTGCACAATTGTCCCACTTGATTCTAGTAATTAGGATGACAAACTTTCATCATAAAATGTATTTAAGCAAGGAAGTGATACTATAGCTATTTTTGTTTAGTGTGTTTCACATATAGACTTCAATATAAAAATCTTTAAAATCACAAAAGGAAATTTTTTAACTCTTAGATAGGAAAGCAGTAATTGTTCCTTTTTTTTTTTGCTTCCTCTGATCTCCTGAGATTTAAAACAGGTCTCACCCTAATTTAAACAGTTTTGATCAGTTAAGTGTGAGAGAATTAACTTTCACTTGTAGAAGGTTTCTCCTTTTGATCTCTCTTTTCTCCTTGTGATGTATCAGGGAATATATAAAATAGCTAAAATTTGATGTGATATTTTTCTTTTGAAATTATAAGTTATGGTAAGTTATGGTAGTTCTGTCTAGTGGAGATAAATTCCAGACCTTTTTAACTGTATATAAGCTGCAAAACATTTTGTGTACCTCATTGTCCCCTTGTAGCATGTTTTATCACTCTATTTATACAAATAAATGTTAAAAATGAAAGCAAAGAAATAATAAAAAACTTCATACTCTTTCTAATTGATTATTTCTTCTATTCTCTTTCTTACACAGTGTGGTTCACCTGAGTGGTAATGTAAATACCCTAAAGCCAGCAGATACTAAAGCAATCTCATGATCTCTAGAGTACTGCATCCAGCTCTGGGGTCCCCAGTACAGGAAAGACCTTGACCTGCCGGAACGAGTCTGGAGGAGGCCACAAAGATGATCAGAGGGATGGAGCACCCCTCCTATCACAAAGGGCTGAGAAAATTGTTTAGCCTAAGAACTGGGGAGACCTAATTGAGGCCTTCCAGTACCTGAGGGGGGCCTACAAGAATGATGGAGAAGTACTTTTTACAAGGGTATGTAGTGACTGCTTTAAACTGAATGGCTACAAACTGGAAGGTAGTAGGTTTAGATTAGATATTAGGAAAGAATTCTTTACTTTGAGAGTGGTGAGGCACTGGAAGAGGTTGCCAAGAGAAGTTGTGGATGCCTCATTCTTGGAAATGTCCAAGTCCAAGTTGGCTGGGGCTTTGAGCAAGCGGATGCAGTGGAATGTGTTTTTGTCCACGACAGGGGGGTTGGAACTGTAGGATCTTTATGGTTCCTTCCAACCCAAGCCATTCTACAATTCTACAGTTCTATGATTCTATGACTTCCATCAATAGTGCTGCCTTGGCAGCTCTACCTCTTGTCAGTGAATGACAAGTTTCTGTGAATTAATCAAAAGGACACTATTGTTTGAATATGTTGAATGCTCTGACTCCATTCCCTCCCTTAAGGAATGTATTTCAATATCCCTTTGTCCAGCTTTGGACTATTGTCTGCTTGATATGGTCTATTACATGTCTATGGTTTATATATGAACCTGAATGATTATTGAGGAAAGTTTATGCTGTTGGACAAGATTCTTGCACAACTGAATCACCTTTTATTGCTCTGCAGGATTTCCACGATGTTTCTCCATTAGTTCCAGATGGTCAATAAGAACAGTTTTTATGCTAGTTGCAGAAGCATCCAAACTTGGCAGTAAGATACAGACTAGAGCAGTTCAGCCACTTTTGCTAATTCTCCAATAAAAACATTTGAGATGCTATAGGCTGTGAGAATATATTTAACATTTACATTTATTCTTAGGGGAAGTACTGCGCTGATAACCTGCCTTTGTGCCCTATGGATAAGTTGCTCCTGGAAGGAAGAGTTGTGAAAGAGGAGGTTCCTATTGACCAGAGATGATATGTATGTTTTGTTTGATATGTCACGGATCAATGACACTTTCGTATGGAAACTTTCATATTTATCGGTTTTGCTCATGTTCTTGCCTCCAGTAATGCTCACTGTAATGCATGTTCATCAGGAATTCTGTTCATGGAGGTCTCCAAACGGTCTTCAGGTAGAAGAGACTTTCAGAATTAGTGAACCCAAAGAAAAAGTAAAATAGGAGCATTTTCATGCCTGAACTAAATGTATCCTATAATTAGCCTACAGAAAGCACACATTTTTTTTTCTACAACACATTGTGTTCTATTTCCATTTCCCAAGGGCTAGAAAAACCCAAGATAACTGTTCAGTCTGACCTGTGACATAGTAAAAAAGAACTCAACTCTGCTTTCTTTTGTTTCTCTGATGTATTTTGTAGATGAATTTTTATAAGTTCTTTGCAGTCAAGGGAATTTGTCTGTGTTTCTGAGAGTGCTTTTCCTCCAGACAGGAAATCTCAATTTTTTTCCCAGTTGAACAGTGTTATCAATGTTACTTAGTACAGGACAGCATAAGATTGTACAGCTACAGAAGGAAGAAATTTCTCTGTTTAAAATTAGGAGGGTTTGAAAATGACATCAAATCAACAAGACATGAGGAATATGGAGGAGGTGTGATCAGCTCTAGTCTCTCTTTCCACTTGGAACAATGAGAATTTTGAGGTGACCCCTGTTTGAACTAACCTAAATTATGGAGCGCATACTCCAGTACGTAATATAAGGAAGACAATTTTCTATTACTGGCAGGAAGCATGGAAAAAAATCACCTGAAAATGAGCAACTTGGGAACAGACTTTCAGTGAATGTGATTTCATGCAAAAGAATAATAAACACTTGAAAAAAATGTTGAGAAGGGAGGTGAGTGGAGCTAAAATCAGTAATATGTTAAAAATAGAAATAGGTGAGATTCTTAGCAGACATGCAGCAGAAAAAGAAAAAAATGTAGCAAATAGGAATGTGAAAGTGAGGGTCACAGAAAGAAAAAATGGAAAGGCCTACATTCCTGGATTGCCACTGACTCTTTTTCCTATCATATAATGATTGTATTATATTTCCATTATGACAGAATTTTTCATTGAAAGAAGTTGCACTATCGTCAACTAGGTAATCTTTCCAATAGAAGATTAGAAATGGGAAGAATATTAAATAGATTTGTTAGATTATCATTCAGACTCTGAGTGCAGAGAGAAGGCATGGGGGAGATGACAGTAGCCGTCTTAGAGAATGGAACTTGGAGACATAGACTATGAAGTAACTGTATAGTATTTATTGAGTACCTATGTTGTTTCATTGGTATCTTTCCAGTTCTCCTTTCATATTTCCCTTGGTGACAGAGGTCAAATCAGGTGTAGGAGGTGTTTGGTTCTTCTCCTAGTTTAGCTACTGACTCACTATACATGTTTCTCTCACCATTCCAACTCTGTGTCTTACTTTTCTTCTGTGGAAATTGGGGTTGATGGTGCTTAACAACTTCACAGGGTTGTAGTGAACATTAATGTTTGTTTCAAGTGTCAGAGGGACACTGGTAAGTGCCCCTCATTAAGGATAATTGTCTTCTTTAGCTGATGCCACTATTTGTCAGGAAATAGATAAATTTAGACTTTGAAGTCCTACTGGGAAAAGGTAATTGCATAATTTCTACTGGGGTGTAATCTTCCTGGTACCTTTGAAGAATCTGGTCAAGTCCACCAGATTCCAGCTGTATTAAATGATCTTGCTACAAGACCTTACAGTAGTAAAAGTTGTTTGTTTAAACATTTAATTTTCAGTAACTTGCCCTGTCCAACAGCAGATATTTTCAGCTTCCATATCACAACAACCACTTCTAATCCAAGATGAAGAAAGTGATTTTTTGAGAAATACATTTTTCTAATAATTTCTGTGACTATTGTGATTGTTGTGACTTTTTCAGAAATCATCTGTTATGAACATTTTTTATTTGTCCATAGGTACCTGCAGTGATTTCCTCAAGCATCTGATTTAAGCAAAGTAAGCAGGTAGTAATGGATTGAACCTATCACTTTGCTAGTCCTGCTCTTTGAGGTTCAGCTGCTAGCTAGAACTTCCCAAACCAGGATTTTTCCTTCCCCTTATTTTCTCTCACTGGTACAGAATTTCTGCCTATCACTTGTTAACATAAGCATACCCTGACTCAATGTGAAATCCCTCTTGTTTTCAAAAGATAGTAGTTTTATAAGACTGAAAAATGTTAGTTATATAGAAGGAAAGCAAGGCTGAAATATTTATAGTAATTAGTAACGATTAATGTCAAACTTAGTTACCCATATACATCAAATGGTTTTCAGTTTTGCTTATTTTTAGGTCTGCTTTTTTTCCCCAGTCAATACAATAAAATACAATCTAATCAGTGAAATTTCTGCCTTACTAGTTACTAGACTAAAACTAATTAACGAGGTACCCATTTTTCTTCACATCTGTAAAGTAAACTGAAGAGAACTGAAGCAGATTAATATTATAGAAGAATATGCCAGCTAACATGTCCAACAAAGGGCTCATAAAAAATGTGAAATACTGCAAACTTGTAGATTTCCTCTAGAAACCCAAACTATGCTTTAGTTTAAACTCACCTTCTCTCAGATGAATCTTTACTTTGATTCCTCTAGAAACTGTTCTTCTGTTTATATTCTAGGCAGAATAATTCCTGGAGGATTCATTTGCTATCCCTACCCATTTCAAATCTTACAATATTAAAAGAAAAAAAATATGAAAACCTCAAAAGCTCTCTAGCGAACAATTTCTTTTTCTACCCTTATCTTCAGTGGACTCTGGTATCTGATAAGAGGAGCTGGACTATATCTAGGTGAGGAAGTGGTGGAAAAATGCTAGTGGAAGCCTTGGAATTGTCTCTGTTCTGAATTAAATCCTAGCTTTTTATTCCTGATGTGAATAATGTAGTGGAACTCAAAGCAGCCAACAGCTGAGATGCTGCAAATAACTGTGACTACCAGAAGATCCAAAAGCAGATGAGGCTGCATGTAAAATCTTTTTTCTTGCACATCAAAGACCTAAGTTGTGTTCTTCAATTAGTTGATTAGGTTTATTTAACCATGGATAACAAGATTGTCTCTACATAAAATATTCTCATTCTGATATGGCTTTAACATTGGGCCTCATATGACGTAGGGGGCCCAATTTTATGATTGGAATTCAATGTTGTACAAGCACCATTGTAATCCTCTCATATAATCATTGGTTTTGTTCAGATTGGTTAGATTCAGAAAAGTTACAACGGACCAGCAAAGCAAGGGGCTATAAAAATTAGTTCAAGAGTGAGTAACAGAGGGAACACAACATAGTGAGGGATTTATAATGTACTTGTTTAGTAAGAGTGGATTACATCATTTTAGAGTCGAAGTGTTGTTTCAGTAAGAGAACCCTTCACAGCAGGAGTTCTCGTTATGTACCACTGACTTCCACAGTACTTCCCCAGACTCTGTGCTTGCACTTTATGTTTTTCCCTTCTACTTACTGCAACATGCCAAAGTGTGGAAAGGTGACAGATAAAAATGATCCCCAAAAGAGTCACAAACGAATAGCCTGAATATATGAGCTTTTTTTTTCCTCATCTGTATTGGTCTAAAAAAGCAGTACTTAGGTTTATGGCAACAGAAAGATGATGTAACATTCTGATCATCTCTTTTGCAATCTGACATCACTCAGTATTTTCCTTTTGGTTATCCAGCCCTTGTCTGTATAGCCAAGACTGGGCCATTTCCAAAAGCTTGGCCTTTCAGCATTTATAGCTTCATTAAATTTTATACAGACCCACAGGTCTTCCCAGAAATAATTTCACACAAGAAATAGACTTTCTAGACTGTGATAATGCATTTGGATACGAGAAAGTGGGTTTCAAGGTGGTACTTTTCCAACCATTACCTATTGGCCATAACCTACAGTGGTCCATCTCAACCAAAACGGATG